TTTTTTTGTCCTAGGGCAGACCCTATTTACGTGAATAGTACCCGCCCTAGGGCTCCCCTTGCCATGGCAAGGGGCTAACTGGTGGAAGTGCTCTTAAGAGCATCTCCAAGAGAGATGTCAAATACCAAGGATGTGGCAATTTGACATCATACACAGCTTTACACTCCACCCGATATGTCAAATTAAATTATTATTTTATTACATTTTAGTGTTGATTCATTTTTAATTAAAAAGAAAAGAAAAAATAATAATAAAATATTCATTTGACATCTTGCTTTTGAGATGTCAAAAATAACATCTCAACCTCCAGCCTTCATTTCACATCAGCTTTGACATATCGGTTGGAGTGATGTGAGATGTTATTTCTAGCTGTTAAATGTCTATGTGGCACGTTTGACACATCGGTTGGAGATGCTCTAAGAACAAAGAGACTGTTTTCTTTCCATTGAAAAAATAAGTAAATAAGAGTAAAGGAGCATCAGTTTGCCTAGAAATGGTCCTCAATTTTAGCTTGGCTATTAAATTATTCAATTCATGGCCAAGGTTACTGCCGCCATCATCATCACCACAAACACCCCCACCATCATTGTTGTCACCATAACCCAACCACCATTTTCGTCACCACCCCACCTCAATTACTGCTACCACTCCCACCTCACCACCACCCTATCAATAGCAACCGCACCATCAATATCACACATGATGACACCACCACAATCACACAAACGTTAAATTTCGTGTTTAATTCATTATATTTTTAGATTGGTCAAATAATAAACTTTACAAATTCTAAAACATTAATTTCTATCATTTTAAATACCATCATTTATGAATTCTTTAGTATTTTTAAATTTTCTCTTCCAAACTTACCGAGAGAGATTAGGATTTTATATAAGGTTTGATATGATGGGGAGAGGTGTAATAGTATGTGAAAAGGTAAGAATTTACAATAAATAAGAAAATTGAGTAAAATAGTTCGATTTGGGTAAAACACCCCTTTTGATTTAGAAATCGATAATTCGACCGGTTCAAATTCTCTTTTCAGGCCAACTTATTATTAATTTTTTTTAAAAGGTGAAAACGGCACCAAATCAGACCAATCAATCCTAGTCAATTGCATTTTTTGATTCGGTTTTTATTAGAGTAAAATAGAAGCCGAAACCAGTCCAATTTGATTTTTGAACCAAGGTTGACTTTTAATCACTACAATTTTTTTAAAATAAATTTCGGCGCGGTTCTCTGATTCTCCCACCCCCTATTCTAAATGCCTAACCCTGCTTATTTTCTTTAGTTTTTAGTTTTTCCAAGCGTATTATCTTCTTAGCTGAAAATTACATTTTTGAGTAGAATTGGAATTGGCAAGATTTTGGTGGAATTAAAGATTTGTGGCTGTAATTGTTATTATTTGAAAGGCTTTTTAAATTTTAACATTTTATTTTCTGTTTTAATATTTTACTATTTTCTTTTATTTATTGTGGGAGTTACAAATTGTTTAACTTTTAGTTTTTATTTTCTATTCATTACCTTAATTTTTCTGGTTAAATGTGTCTGGAGATTACAAGTATTGGATGCCTATAAAAGGCCACTCCTTCTTCACATTTGAACATACCACAATTAGATTTCTATATTCTCCTACTTTCATATATTCTTCACTTTCCATATTATTATTTTGGGCAACGGTTTTGTGGCTTGGAGATTTCTATTCCAATGTAAACGTGCTCATAGCAGACCTTAAACCTGCGTATTGGAGTCGTATCTTGGAGTCTTGTAGACTGTCATTACCTGAACGTAGGGAGGCTACAAAGGCTTTAGGACATCGTCTTTTGACGTGCTTTCACTATACCAAGTTTGCTTTCTTACTCTTGAATTATTTTATTTATCTATTATTTGTTTCTTTATTTTTACTTTACTGTTGAAGCTTTGTTTTATATATTATTTATATCTAAAGGTTTGAAAGAATTTTATAGAAATCCCTGTACTTTTTAATTTAAACAATCCATTATGTTGCGCTGGTTCTTGGAACTTTTTAATTTAAACTATCCATTAGAGAGAGGCAGAGGGTGAAGAAGATTGAATCAAAAGTCAAATCAATGATGACATTGGAAGGAGTGGCCATAATCATACGAATCAAAATTTAAACTATCCCTTACTCAGGTCACTGTTGTTTATTCTTATCTCATCTGGTGGAGACTAACAAGTTCCATAGGTCCAACCAAATTGTTTTCCTTTCTGAATAATGCTTATGAATGCATCAAACTGTTATTTGAGTAAATTCTTTTATAGTGGTATTGATTGAATATATCATAGGATTTTGTCTCAAAGGAGTATATAACATGCCCATATTGATGCACTTATAATCTTTTTCATGTAGGTCCTGTTCTTCCTATCAAAGGTATTGTTCTTTGCGCTCATGATGTTGGTGCAAAAGTCCTTGTATTCCACATAAGGTGGTTGATGTGCAGAAATTTTTTTTTTTTTTTTTTTTTTTTTAAAGAGAAAACTTCTATTGCCACCGAAAAACTTCAATCTTTCACTAAGCAGAGCACCACAGGACTCAAAATTCCTCCATGATAAACCTGCCTCCCTAAATAACCGACTTCACAACGAAGAAACTAATGAATGCTGACATTCTTGTTGCTTCTTCTCACAAGGTTAGGATACTGCCTTATGTACAGTAACCTAGCCTTATGGGCAAGGAAAGTATATGAAGCAAAGAATATAGTGGGCCTACAGTCTACGGGCGTCGGATTCTTATATGGAAAGAGAGAGTAATCTCTTGTCCCTCATGCCTCTATTTCTTGGTAAGCTTCTTATTTGAAAGTTCAGTTGCTTTTTTATATCTCTATCTGAGACAGCAATGGCTTCTGTGTAATTTGAAGTTGACTATAATGTTTCACCTCTCTTTCTAGGTGGTGGTGAAATGATATCTGATGTATTCCTAGATCATTCCACCTATGCAGAACCTCCATCTAGGTTGGTGAGTTCACCTACCTCGAAAACTTTATGTTTAAATTAAATGCAATGAGAACAGCAGCTTTGTTACCACTTTGAAGTTATTGTCTGAATTATCTCTGTGTTTAATTGTCACCTTGATAGATGAATTTGAATACAAGTAGTCCTGCTCGCAAAGTAGGTCCTGTGTGCATGTTAGTCAATAAAACTGACCTTCAGTTGTAAAGTAGCTTATATGCAAGTGCACACAAATATTCTTGCTGCGTTCTACATACATTGGGCCTTTTTTTTTTTTTTTAAATCATGTCCTGATCTCGTTTCCCATTACCTTAAAGGAATGTCAGTTTTTTCCGTTTGTTGTATTGGGCCTGTTTGTAATTTGCTAAGTTAATGGATTATCTTTTCCTTCGACCAAAAAAAAAAAAAAAAGGAATGTCAGTTTTTTCCTTATCCGGTGAAATTTTTAGCTATTTCTTGAAGCAGTCACTCTTTATGAGCGTGGTTGCTCTTAGGCACATTTTATTCGTGCTCTTATCATTTAAAGCTTGATTCCTTTATCTGCATTAATTATACACTAATTTGTGCCACCTTCTGATATATCCTTTTGTAATTGTCCCTCATTGCCTAAATTAGATTTGAGGCTGGAACAACAGCAATTAGGTTAGGAGCAGCTACTGATTAGCTATCAGGATTTGGTATGCAAACAATACATGATTATGAGGTAAGTTGAATTGTTCTACCTTTTGAATTTCTTGTTCTATATATCTGGTTTATACTGTTTTGTTGCAGGGCTTTTCTTTTGGTTAATTGTAGTAATTGAAAGAGAAACTATTACAGTGCAAAAGATAATTGTATTGCATTGACAGGGCTAGTAACATTTAAGACTCCAAAAGGCAGAAAGGTGAATCGCGTAATTGTATGCAACTGTATGCAAAAGATACAAAGCAAATCGCGTTGACGCCAGAAAGGCATTTGACAGGGCTAGTAACGCTTTAGACTTCCATTGATATTTGACATCCATGTGAGTTGAGTACAATAGACTGCAGTCAAGTATGTGGTCTTACATAAAGGTCTGCTGAGTTCAATACCGTCCGTTTAGGTTCACTACTATTCAATTCACATAGACAGGACAAGTAAATGAAGTAAAAATAAATAAAAATTACATGTTCAGTTAAATATTTCATGATTATTGATGGAAGCAATTGACAAAAGAATTGGATTATTGATCTGTTGTAAACAGTTGGACTCCATTCCAAGTACTTTATCTAACGAAATCTATACCAAGATTGTGCTTTTCTTTTTTAAGCCTCTTCACATGTTTATGTAGTACTTAACTTGATTGCAATTTTATTTTTTATTTTTACAGATATTTCTTGCAAAATATCTATACAATAGACTTCATTCGGTCCCTGATGTTCGCATTTATCGTACAGCCCCCTCAGAACACGTCTTCTGCACTGCTCTGTGTTCTTTCAACATCGAAAATATACACCCTACATATCTGGCAACTTTTCTTGACCAACAGGTATGGAAGGAACATAAATGAGATTTAATAAAATAGCTCATACTGAGTTATGTGATCCCAGCAAGAAATGGCTATCCAATCAGGTTACCATTATGCGCAATCCCTTCATCGGCATTTAGGAGTGAGTGCGAGTGCACGGGCAAGTCTTCACTCATACGACACTGTCGAGGATATTGATGACTTTATCCAGGCCCTCAATGACACAGTCAGCTTCTTTAATTCTTTCAAGCAGGGGCTTGACCTCTTCCCATCCTTGCCAGCCTTCTCTAAATTTTGTATAAACTTTTCTACGGACACACACCGTAAGCTTATATGATCTGAGTATAGTTTGTGCAATAATCTGTTAAGACTTAAGAGGGATTCTTATTTTCAATTCAATAGTTTGTCTCACTTGCCTTTGAAATGACTATCTTGTCTCATGAAACTAGTTTTAGTGTCTCACTTAAACTTTATCCTTAAATCTATCAAAAAATCTGTTAAATTACTTCCCAAAGACAAAATTTATTGCTTCTCCAATGACCAAAGCATTTGAATCTGCATGGTGTGGTAAAGCCAAGGAAAGAGGAGCATACAAGTCAAGAATTTCTTTAAAGTACTCACAAATCCATGACAAGTAACATATTAAACTGAGACTCCAGCAGCCATGTAGCAGAAGCTTCTGTATAGCGCCACTTCTATAATGATAGCAACCGTGGAACAAAACCAAGCCTGTTATAGTACCATGGGAGGACTTGGTTTATGGCATGAAGGAGATGCTTCCAGGAAAGTAAAAGAACCCTTGCATTTGATGCCAGCTGCCCATTCCATGCCTGCTTTAAACAGTATGAACGACGATACAATGAGCTGCAGCTTCCCAGACCTGTAAACAGAAATGAAATTCAGTTGAGTGAGAATAGCAAATAACCTCCTCAATGTCAAAGCTACATTGTAACATATTTCATTTAACTGCTCTGAGAAAGTCAGAAAGGGTTCTTTCCTGTTCTCAGCTTGATTCTTTCTCACCTTGTCTTGTGATACTACCCTGCACTCGGATTCTTCTCGGAGCACCTCCCATGTGTTCAGTGAAGACGTGAGTTAAGGCTAGTTGTAGGATAGATATACTAGTTGAAGAAGACTACTGATCTGAGGAATATCTGTAGTTTGTCTTGATAAGAGGAAGTACTACCATCTCCAAAAGACTGCTTCTGAGAAAAGACATCTTTACTTCGTCTGTACTCATTGCATTCAGAGAAGGGTAGAGAGTTCTGATAACATTTCAACCATCTTCATTTGCTGGTCTTTCTTTCTAATTTTGGGGATGCTGGGACACATTTTCTTTCTTTTTTTGGGTTACACACACATCAAAGAGACATAACCCTTGCCGACTGTGATTTTGGGGTGGCATCATCATCATCATCATCCATTTGGGAGGCTCGAATAATCAACTGTCTGGCCAATTCCTGAAGCTCGGATTTAGATTTTCCATCAACTGAAGTGGAAGTATTGGAGGTACCGGAAGAAGAAGGCCTTGATTTTGGAGGATCAGCAATTGGAGAAAAATCTCTGTAGACATAATCTGCAATTCTTTCAACTTTGAATTTATCCCACCATTTGACTGAAAATTGGCGAGATAGGATTCTGGATTCCCAATTAACATGATAGGACCATTTTAATATCCAGGGGACTTTGTACCTGGCAATGAAAATGAGAGAATTTGGGAAAAATAATTCTGACTTTTTGAATTTATATTTTTGGGAGAAGTAGTTGATCAACTCATGAATTTGGGGGGGAAGAATTTCAGCAACTGGACCATGCTTTTCCCACCAATGGAGGAACCAAAAGGGAAAAGGACTATTGAATTTACTGTCAAAATTAATGAACCAAGAATGACTAAAATCAACTGTTTGATGGAGGAAAATTGTGTACCATGCTTCAATGTAATCAGCATGGCAATATTGGAGGTTCGACTGGAGAGTTTTTAGATCATAGGGATGCTTTCCCCAATTTTCTTGGCTTAAGATCTGGTGGATGTATAAGGAATGGTATAGTATGATGTGGGGCTGATTGCGATCTTTAACAGGCTTATAATTTCAACTGACTGAGTTTCACTGAGAATGTCTCTATAATATTTAAGAGATTTATACGGACTTTGGGGCATGAAATGGAAATTAGGAGGGAAGTAGTGTTTTGCTATGGCAACTGGATCAGAAAGATTATCAAGAACTGACTCAATAATGAAAAGATGGGTTTTATCTTTTGGGGCATAGGGAGATGACTTTCGCAGAGGACTAGGCAACTGAGTGATTTGTGTACTGATCTCAAAAGGATCATAACTGGAAACTAAGGCAGACTGATAATTAGGGCTAATTTGACCGACTGTGGTCCCTAGACTGGAAAATCTATTGCTGACTTGCCGTCTGTGACAGACTAGTAACTTGTCGTCTGTGACAGACTAGTAACTACGAACAAGTTTCCAAAGCCTAGACAAGTGTGAGTGTTTTACACAACACAGTTGAATTATTTGTAGGAGATTCTTACAAGGGCTCTTGTGGTTTATAAGTCCCCTTTGATAATCTCCTATAAATAAAATGTTGTGTTTCTCTCCAATAGCTAATACAAATAATCTTTCCATGGAGTACTTCAGTGTCAGCGTCACTGTGGCATCCACTTGAGGAAGCAAAATATCTACGGAGATAACTTAGGCATCGAAAGGTCTTTGGCCAACACCCCCCTAAAGAAATCTCCATCCTTTTGTTAACTATTGTTTTCCTACAAACACTCGGCCTAACTTAGGCATCGAAGGGTCTAATCTCCATCCATTTGCTGACTATTGTTGACTATTATTGACTACAAACACTCGGCCTAACTTAGGCATCGAAGGGTCTACTCTCCATCCATTTGTTGACTATTGTTGACTATTGTTGACTATTCTTTTCCTACAAACATTCGGCCTAACTTAAGCATCGAAGGGTCTTTAGCCAACACCCCCCTAAAGAAATCTTCATCCTTTTGTCAACTATTATTTTCCTACAAACACTCGGCCTAACTTAGGCATCGAAGGGTCTTTGGCCAACACCCCCGGGTGTGGTCTTCTACTCTGTATTGTCTTTTACTCCGTAATGTTTTGCAGGGTGTGGTCTTTTACTCCTTATTCTTTGGGAACGAAAATCGCTCCCACACCCGTCATAAACCCTTTCCAATGATTTTGGTATGTTGTAGTCATTGAAAAGAGTTTATGATGTTTCTTTTATTCAAGAACTTTGTGGGAAAAGAGTCGCAGATCGTTGCATCCAATATAGTTATTGGCATGCAGAAAATCTCCCTCTAGCTCAAATTGACAAAAGAACGATTCCAGATTTTCTTCTGCTTGAGAATAAACCTGGATTAAGAATCATAACAAGCAAGTGTTAAGTTTGGGTGTACTTCTTGTGCTCCATATTAAGAATTATGTATATGAAAGTTTCAAAAAGCATGTGGATTCTCACCTCTGAAATCCTAGTTTGATTCTCGAAATTAGAGGCGGTGTTGCTAACTGGTTTACTGTCATAGTTGGTCGGAATACTATTCTTGTTTGGAAGAGAAGAATCATTATCCCCAATTGGAGATGGCCAGCTACTGCATTCATCAATATAGACATAAGGAGCATTTCCCAGCTCAGGTGGCCCGGGAGGAGGAATGGGTGAATCCAGCTCTTCTCCTAGCTGAGCACATAACTGCCATTGCCAGATTAAGCACAAAACAAGCAAGTGTTAAGTTTTGATATACTTGTGCTCCATATCAACAAGTTCACATCAGAAAATGTTCAAAAAGTCTCACCTTTTGAAGCATATTAGATGAAACACAGCCACTAGGTTCACCAGCATCAGGATTGCAAGTGCCAAGAACATGTTCTAGCTCCTTGTAGGCCAGAAAATCTTCTGGGTGTGGAATCATATGATTGATAGCAGCAGCTTGGTTATTAGAATAAGAGCCGATGTAATCACTAGTAACAGGAACATTTCCCAGCTGAGGTAGCTGGTGTTGGTGAGGCCGCTCGGGAGGAGAAGGTGAATCCAGATATTCTCCTCCCTTAGCACATAGCTGCCAGATTAAGAATCACAAACAAGCAAGCAAGCATTAAGTTATTGATATATTTCATGTGCTCCACATTTCCAATTTTACATCAGAAATCTTCAAAAAGCAGATTAATTCTCACCTCTTGAATCATATCATCAAAATCAGATGAAACAAAGCCACCAGGTTCACCATCGTTCTGATTGCCACTTCCGAGGAGAACATGTTCTAGCTCTTTGTATGTCAGATGTTCTTCTGCCTCCGAAATCAGATGAATTTCAGCAGCTTGTTCAAGCTCAGAATTAGAGGCCATGCAGCCAGCAATACCAGGATCAGCTGATTCAGCACAGATTGAACCATCCTGCTGCTTCTTATTATCAGACTGTCAGTTGACTTATTCTTCATGCGGCAGAGAACAAAGCCACTCAGCTGATTGGGATTGGAACCTGGGTCAGTTGGAGTGAGATAGTACTCCTGCCTGACCCAGCCGGTGTTCCTCGACTTAGGCACACGACCTTCATGGAAGGTCAAGGTCCTCTTTTTGCAAGTGACCGATTTGGGAAGTTGTCGAGACTTGACTTGTCGTGGCTTGCCTGTGATTTTCCAGAAGCCCTTCCCTGAGGCCCTGTTGCAGCGACGACTGTTGGCATATTTGTAATCAGGTCGGCTGAAGGAGAACCAGGCCCTAGGTTGATATGGAGAGTCTGGGAACATGAGCTCTGCAAAATGCAAGCAAGTCTTGAAGTAATGAACAACAAAACAACAGATTTCACAACAGCATAATTTATTGAACAAAATTGTAAATTGGAAATGAGAAAAACAGGATAATTGATCAAGATTATGTATAAACAAACATCATATATACCTTGGAAATGTGAAAATGGGCAGTGAAGAGAAATTGAGACAGATTAATGGATTACCAGCTAAATCCCAAGGCTCGTACTTGTAGACATCAATTTCAGGGATGGATTGGGAGGCCTTGCCCTGCATCATCCTCTTCAAGAAGCGACAAAAAAGTTGGATAGATTCATTATCAGGTAAATCCCAAGGCTTGTCAACGATTTCATCAGGCATGGCTTGGGAGTCCTGGCCCTCCACCTTATTCTTCAAAAGGTTCACCATTTCCTCCTCAGAGGGATGGAATCTGAACTTAGGCAGCAAATCAAGCACTGATTCTTCTGTTGTGCTCATACTTCTGCTGTTTTGGAAAATTGGAATATAAGATGATCAAATGCTTTTCCTTCAGAGAAGAAGCAACAGAGAGCAGTGAAAGTTGTATTTACAAACAAACTCACCAATCACAAGCCACTGTGCTTTTTTTGACTTGTGTTTGATCCCAAAGATTCCCAAGTCTTCTGATCAAAAAGAGATTCCCAAGCAAGAACATACATGGCATTAGCTTGAGTCATACTCATACGTGTGGATCCCACCCACTTCCTATCATGCCTTGCTTTTTTGTTTTCTTTTGTTCTTTTGTGGAATCTGCCCCTCTCGTAAGTTTCTTTCCTTTAACTTGTCATGGATTTGTGAGTACTTTAAAGAAATTCTTGACTTGTATGCTCCTCTTTCCTTGGCTTTACCACACCATGCATGATACAGGAGCATAGAGGTGGATCAAGATAGATATTTATCATTTAATTAGTTATTTCATGATATATTGTTATTTTCTTATTTAGGTAGTTTTAGGATATCTTTTATTATTTATGTGTGATTTTATAATTAATTAGTTTACTTTTGGACCAAGCAATCTTGGTGCCCAAGTCTTGTAAAGCCTATAAATAAGGCTATTGTAATAGTTGTAGAAAAGG